GTAGACAGATGGGCAGTGGCTAGGCAGAAAGAAGGGTTTCCCTATTAAATGGGGTGTGACTCCTTAGAGCCGCTGCTTAGTATAGAATTAATAGGATGCCTACTCTCTTGGGTTTGACGTGTGAATGGACTACGGTACTTAGTACTTCTGGGCTGCACTGTAAGCCATTATCACCATAAATCGTTACCTATACTTCATGCCACTGACTGGGAAGGTAACAGACCAGGCACAGAACAGACAAGTCCAAGTACATTATTATTTAAAGAGAAAAACCCGCTCAGTTATTTCTTAAGAGGAAGAAATTGGAAAATGAAAAGAAGAAATTGTTTTTTCCTATATTTTGTGGACCAACATGTATTTTTAAATTGGCACAGTGATCCCAGAAACATGAACTAATGAGTAGCATGTTGACACAGGCTAAGACATGGTTACTGGCAGAATCACTAACTGTCCCTACACACGCAGCCCAGGCAGGAGTTCACATCTGATGCAGCTGAGGGTGTGATCGTAACCAGACCACACAGGGACAGCGTCGCAGTGGCCAAGGCAGGCATGGTTTGCGTGGAATGCAGGAACCAGGCTAAATACTGGCATCGCTGACACATAATAAAGAAAATAAATTTTTAAATATCGCCGATAAATTTGAAAACATCTGTTTTAATTGAGGGAGAAGCATAATTTCGTGTAGCAAACTTCTCTAGTTATAAAGTTCATCTAAGGATATATAGCCTGGCTTCCAGTTTTCTCCTCTTAAGAAATAAAATATGAAGGTCAAACAATTCCATTACTTTCTTTCTTATCTTTTCTTCAGGATACATGGCCAACTTTTTATATCTTTCATTAGTGATATATTATACGGTAGTTTCCAACTGAGGGCTCAAAGATCTCCCTGAAATTGTGACTTGTATGCAGAACTTTGCATGTAAGTGAGTCTAGGCATTTTTCTGGGAAGGAGGTCTAGAATCCTCAGATTCTCAAAGCAGTTCATACGCAAAACAGACTGAGAATCACTGTCTTATACCTATCGGTACATCTCACTGTGATTCTTCTACGGTGCACAGTATAAATATAGGTCATAAATTATAGGTTGGCAGGTTTCATATTCTCTAAAGGATATGTTCATTTACTTTCATATCCAGAAAGAACCTCCAAAGCTAACAAGTTCATTCACCTGCCTTCAGGCGAAATTCTTCCAAAATTATCCATTAGGTAAAAACTGAAAGTCTGTTTATTTTTCCCTATGGGAATGCAATTGTAGCACCTCATTCTGTAGCCTATTACATTTTTTAACAACCACTGTAAAATTTATCTTTGCACTCTAGTTTAAGTCTTCAATAGCCATATTACTATTTTTTGTCACTTTACACGCAGCTATAAACATGGTAATCTTTCCCCGAGAAGACATACTGCAATGTTCTCGTTGCAGGCCATTTGCAAACCTAACGACGCTAGTGATAAATGTGTAGGTACACAACATAGCTCACACACGTTAAGCAGATGTCTGGCCAATATATTAGAACGTAAGTGTGATCAAGTTGCTAATGCTGGGAGTTCAAAGTCCCAAAGGGCTGGGAAAACTCTCTCAGATGACACATTGCAGGAAGAAGCTCTCCTGCCATTTCTGGCGGTTGCACTGTCCGTCAGGAGTGTGGGCGTGATGGCATTTGCTGGAGAGCGGACCTCACCATGGGCCCAGAATATGTGGCCCCTCAGCCACTCTCACCCTGGCCTGGCCTGTGATCATAGTCCCACTCATCCCCACCCAGTGAGTACTGGGCACTCCAGGCTTCCCACATGCACTGGGTTCCCAGCCCCCCTGCGTGCCTGCCTCATGCATAGTTTTGTCTCCTGTGGTCCTCTCCACACAGACACTGGGCACCCCAGGCCTCCCACGAACAGTGGCACCCTGCTTCCCTGTGGGTACCTGCCCACTAACTAGGGTCCACCTGCACCCTCACGGGTTGCTTCCTGCTCTCCCAGGGAAGGTGGACTAGCTCTCTCCGGGGAAACCCAGCAAACTTGCCTATTTCCTGTGGGCTGCGGTCATGCCTTCTCAAATGAGGGCTGACCTGTAGCCTTGGGAAAGGGGTCCTCCTGTCAAGTTTGTCCTTTGGGTACTCTTCCTCAGCTTTAGGGTAGCTTAGAGAGTTCTTTTTCATTTTACAGTTACTCTTCCATCATACCTTAATAATTCTTTATATTAAAATCCTCCTGTTTAAATCACTGTGAGGTTTCTGTGTTCTGATAAGAATCACGATGTCTTATTCTTTGATTAAACTCATGGCTAATATTCATTAACAGTACATTTTCAGTTGTTTTTATTTTTCCTTCAGGTTTAATTGTATCATAGTTAAAGAATGTGGTCTGGGAGTATATAATTCCATTTATTGGTATCAATTTTTTGATATTCTTTTAACATAATGCACGCTTAATTTTTTAAAAATGTTTCCAGAAAATGGAAAAGAAGGTGCAGTCTCTATTTTCAGGAACAGAGATGAGTATCTCTCTATTAGATCAATCTCATTAAAGTTTTCATGTCCTCTGTACAGGAGTCAACAAACTTTTTCTATGAAGAGCCAGACAGTAAATAATTAGGCTTGTGGGCTGTCAGGTCTCTGGTGTAGCTCCTCTACTCTAACAACGAGGTGCAAAAACAGGCACAGACAATGTGTGAATGAATTGTCTGGGTGGCTGTGTTCAATACAACTTTATTTACAAACATGGGGAGTCTGCCAGAGTTGGTCCACAGGCCCTCATTTGTCAACTCCTGTTCTGCATCATTATTTTTATCCACTTGGTCTGTCGAGCAATGAGAAAGATGCGTCAAAGCTTTCCACACGAACATATTCTTGTTTATTTCTCCCTGCGTGCTTTTTGTCCTTCTGTTTATATCGTTCTATGCTCTGATATTTGGCACAAAAAGGTTCCTGTGGATTTTATTCCTTGTAGAATCCTTCTCTTTTGTCTTGTTAAAGGGTGTGTGTGTGTGTGCATTAAACCTTATATTTAATATAGGATGACATTTCAAATGAAAATGTTATATAACACAATAAAACTAACACCAAAGATAAGTTTAACAATAAATCCAATTGGAATAAATTTACCTATTAAAACAAACCTCAGAATGTGGCAAATACCAAAACCTTGTTTAGAAGATAGGGTGCCCTAGAAGTTTGCCTGTAATAGATTCTTTTTTTTTTTTTTTTTAAGATTTTTTATTGGGGAATTAGGGGGATAGGAACAGTGCTGGGGAGTTGGGGGAAGGGGAACAGACAAGTTGCTGTCATTTTTGTTCTTCAATCTAGTTGTGGAGGACGTTGCTTCACTGGCCCAAGTTGGCACCATCATTGCGCTCTTCTCTGGCGAGGCAGATCAGTCGCCGGCCTTTGGACGGCCGCTCACTGCGGCTGCTGGCCGCTCACTGCGGCTGCTGGCCGCTCACGCTGGCTGCTGGCTACATACGGTAGCCCATGGCAACCCACTGCCACAGGGGCTGCAGCCTATGCCGTCACAGGCAACTCACGGCAGCCCAGCTCCAGGTCGAGCTGTTGTTCAGCATCTTAGCTGTGGAGGGCAGTGTCACTGGCCCTCATATGTGGGATCCGAACCGGGGCCCTCTGGCATCCCAAGCGAGTTCCTAACCATCGCGCCACTCGGCCGGCCCTGTAATAGATTCTTTATCTGCCTCTCTTAAACTATTTTTAAATCTTATTTACTATAAATATAATTATCCTATATATAATACATTGTATTAGTATATATATTATATATGTGTGTGTGTGTGTATAATCAGATGGGGCTGTTTGGAATCTTTTATATAAAAGAGCGTATGGTTTGTGTTAGTCCTTCCTCTGTTCACTGGAACCTCACCTGTTTCCTGCCCTCTGCCTGGAGACAGCTGGCTGTCAGGGATCAGCCTATGATTCTGAGTGGGAGCAGTTACTGAAAGTTGCTATTTTCCCTGTAACTTCAGGCAAAGTTCTGCACCAAAGCTCCTCCCACTGTTAGGAGCACATCCAGTCCCCTGGGGTTTGGGGTTTGTTCCCTCACTTCACTGTGAGCCCACAGCCACTGGTGACTGCTCTATTCCACATATGCTATTATTTCATATAAGCCAGTATTGACTGATTTTTCCTCTCTTTTTCTTTCTCAGTTGAACCAAACCTTTATTGGATGAATACAATAAATCTACAGAATTATTCACCCAAACTGCATATGACTTCCTTTGAGTCAGAGACTGAAACAGGCAAATCCTGGTGGTCCTGAGAGAACTGAGGAGCTGTCTGCCTCTGAGAAGGGTGGAGGCCACACGTGATATGTTTCCGCGGGCTCCCTGCACACCTAGTGCTTGGATCCCCAAATCTGGAGAGGTTTCCAGGGGGCTTCATGGAATGTCATCAACATTCTCTGACTGGCTGCTTTGTCCATGGGTGGGAGCCCTGTGTCTACATGTCCTCTCTAAGTTTGGCTACAACTACTTGGTTGGTCCATACTCCAAGTTTCTGTTGGGTTCTCTTCATACGTTGAGTGGTCTTGTGTAGTCTTACCTGTTTTTATCTAATTTCACTTATTTCATTCTATTTCTGTGGAGATTGAGAGGACATGCACTGTGTCTGTGCTTCTTCATTTCTGGGGAGTCCTGCATGTCGAGCATAACCCTAAAATATCTTTTTGAAAGAGAATTGATCCCCATGATGGATTTTTTATTTCCCTTCCTGGAATTCATTCCCTGAATTTTTTTTACCTCACATTCTTTTATTCAGAAGGATTTGAGATTCTGCCTTACTTAAATATTCACTTAAACGAATGCTAAGCTACCTGGTTTTAAAATAGAGCAGGAATTTGGTAATTCCAGGCCAAATAATCTTCTGAAATTTCTTCTGACTCTAGTTTTGAGAGGCATTAAAATAGCACAGAGACTCAAGACATCATGAAATTCAAATACAATTACTTCAGGCTCAGCAATGTTCTGGAAGACACACAAACAGGTGAGCTCTTACCAGCGGAATGAGCAGGCTAATGAGGTCTGTCAGAGGTTTGCTGAGCAGCAGCAGGTCCTCCGCGGCCTGAGTGTCCCCTCCTGAGCCAGACTTCTGTGCCTTGAAGGGAGGAGAGAGAAAAGAGGGGGCCTTAGAGATGAGTCCGCTTGGCCCTCAGAGACAGCTCCCCTCCGTCTAGCAGATGAGGAGGCTGAGGAAGTATTCTACCCCAGACCCCTGAAGAGAGGTTATGCTTCGTTTTAAGACGACAAAGAGTGCACACACTGCCACCAGCTCAGGCTACAGAGGCAGACCCGGTGACCCACAGACAAAGCAATAACAAGCACTGTCACTGGAGGAATGATGGCTCTGTTCACATAATGCGGTGGGTAAGCACTTCCTTTCCAACCATTCTCGGGCTAGGCGCTGTTAGCCCCATTTTTCAGGAGAGAAAACTAAAGTTCAGAGAAGTCAAGTAGTTCGCGTCAAGTCCCACAGCTGACGGTGACAAAGCCGGAGGACAGACCCAGGCTCTATGACTCCCAGTGACACACGCTCATCTCTCCTGGGCATTTTCATGGACATTAGATAATGCATACCAAATACACCCTCCATGCTTTCCTTCTCAACATGCTTCCTCATGCTTGGATACCACCTAAAATGTCTCTCTGTTCAGTGTGCCCCTGCAGGAATGGCCTTCAGGTGCAGGTCTACACTGCCTGGCAAGTACGAGCTTAAATGGCAATGGAAATGAGAAATGGCGCCTTTCATTTTAGGTGTGCCTTCTTCTGGGAATTTTACAGAACTGTCGAAGACCAGAGATTTCTATCACGGAGATGAATAATTTCACATTGAAAAAGGCAGTGATTATGGATTGTGTTTGCTGTCATATGAACATATTTCATTCATATACTCCCTTCTCGTTTTTAATTTCACTCAGAAGAAATGAAAACTACTTTGAGGTCATGAACTTCGCCAGAGCCTTCAGAGCAGGCCACAGGCTGCCCCACCTTTGGTCACTAACCTGGACTCCAGGGCCCTTCTCACAAATGCCAAGTGTCATGCACTTCAGGCCTAAGGACAGAATTTGCGTTGTCTGCTTCGTTTGGTTCAGGAGAACTTGACTAAAATCAGATACCTGCCTTTTAACAGCCTGCACCTCTCTACCGCCACGGGGAACCACAGGAGCATTGCTTTCCAGAAAACAAATGGGCAGTCCTCTCCCAGAGGTCTCAACCTTTCTGAATCCTGGCTGTTAATGCCCACTTTCTGAAGCACAGTTTGAGGTAGAATGTCAGCCTTTTCACATTACCGCGCTATCCTTCGGACTGCTTTTCTCCTGAGAAAGATGAGGCAGTCTTGCAAGCCAGCACCTGGGCGCTGAGGGGCACAGTGCCACTCCCTCCTTTGTGAACACATATGAGCAAACAGATGGGGCCACAGGGACAAGCAGACACCATGGACCTTTCCCCACCCATATATCCAGCAGCCCTCCAGATCCTTCGAGATCTAGTAATGCCTAGTCTTTTGTTATTGTCACCAAGATGCTTCCAGACCCTGCCACCAAGGTCAGGACCCACCTCCGGCACAACTGCCAAGGGCCCCAGAAGGGGATGTGCAGCTTTGCACGACAGGGAGGCGCACACCAGGGATGCATTAGAAATTTAACCCTCATCACCAAAACGTAGGCTCTGTGTGCCCAACGGATGCCTGCATGGGTGGTCTTCCCTACCTGGGGCATAAACGCAGAAGCTGAGCAACAAATCAGGGGCCGGGGCCTGCCTCCTCCCTCTCTCTCCAGCTCCCCAACATCACACTCCCTCACGTCAGCCTCTTGACGCCTGGATCTGCGGCCCTGCGTGTGCGTTTTGCAAAGGGCACTTTCCACAGCAAGAAAATCCCGCCTCTGCCATGACACTGCTACTGTCCTCTCTGCCCAGGTCCTGTGCCTTTGCCCCTGGTCCCACTGACCCCTTCCCATAGCTCCCTGGGCCCTGTCACTGCTGTGTGGTAACTCACCCCACTCCTAGCCATGCAGTGCGCTTGGCCCACCCGGCTGTCACAGCCTAGGCAACAGAAGACGGATGGCAGACTGAGCTGGGTGTGAACAGTGGGGTTTGAGACAAGAGGTTGGATTTGTTAGATATTTAAGATAAAAATCTATGTTATTTTGTGACAGATTAGATGCGGAATATGAAAAAGAGGGAAATGTTAAGAATGACTCCCAGGTTGGTAGTTTGCACAGCAGGAAGAGGGGGGTGGGGCATTCTGGGAGGAGGATGGTTTGAGCTCAGCTTCGGACATGTTGAATTTGTGTTGGTTAGGGGGCATTCTAGTGGTCATGTTGAGGAAGTTGCTAGATGTACCAAGTATGGATCTCAGAGGAACACTCTACGTGGAAATATGAATTTAATAGTTTTAAACGTGAAAGCTGAGAATGTCACCTTATGAGCCATATGTAATACTAAATGGCAATACAGCATTACCTCAAGCAAGATAAAGGAATACAGCAAACTTCTCGGCATAAAAAAGGTCAGGGATAACACAGTTATATTACGTCTGGCATGGCTACACGAACTAGAGCACGGGGTATGTACTCAGCAGAGGCTTGTTAAACACACATACAGGTGAGGCATCTGTAGAGACGAGAGCCGGCAACGCTTCCAGCAGCTGCCGTCTGACATCCTGGCAGGCTGAGGCACATCATGGGGCACAGCTTGCAATGGTGTGGCCCAGGCCACCTCAGCACTCACTGCACTCCCCAAACACCGCCGTGCTCACACCACGGTGCACAGATGGCAGGACTGACTCCCCAGTCTGTAGGACCTTCGGGTGTAATTTAAAGGATGACAAGCCACTTGAAACCTATGTTACTTTGCTAACAATTGTCACCCCCAATAAACTTCAATTTAAAAAAAAAAATGACAAGCCTCCAAGTAACTGCTAAAGACAGAGTGTGGAAACTGCTACAGAGGTGGAAACGGCGTAAGCACTGGGGGGAGAAGGGGCAGGCGACGCTGGCCTTCATCATTTGGATGGTGGGGTGAGGCCTGCAGGAATAAGGTGGAGAGCAGGGTGTCGGGTGCTGGGAATCGCACGAAGCACGGGAAGGCACGGGAGGGACAAGGTGCGGGGTCCATTTGGAACGGACCAAGCCGACTGCTTTCGCGTGGGTATGGGCTGTAAGGAGGACTGGCACACGAAGCTGGAAAGGCACCTGGGGCCGGACATACAAGGCCTTGAACGTCTTGCCATAAACAATGAAATGCTGACGTTTTTAAAGGTGAGAGACATGAGGAGGACCACAGGCTGCGGCAGGGAAATCTCACTTGCGTTCATCAGGCAGAAAGAGCAACAAGGGCAAAGCCACGGAGGAGTCAAACTAAGGAAGCCAAGGGATCCGAAAAATAGAGATGAGAGCCCACACTGCGGACAGCCTTTACAGGACTCAGGGGCCGCATTTCAGTCAATGCAATCCCAACACATCCGCAAACCAGCAGCAACTGCACCGTCCTGCTCTCACGGGAGTAGGACACTAATAGCAAACAAAACTCTCGCATCACCTCCGAAATGACAGACGAGGCCCAGACGGGGAAGTCAGGGGGCCTGGATTTTACCACTGAGTATCTGCCTGCCCTAGCCTCCAAGCTGGGATAGGGCCCGCTCTCCCATATTCTCACTGCAGTACCCTACACCTTCCCGCGGCTGCATTCTCACAAGTGTAACGAGATGATGACTCGCTTCACTCTGTACGTATTGGCAGTCTTCCCTACCAAGCTGCAGCTCCCTGAGAGCGAGCACCTTTGCTCTCGATCCCTGATGTTGCTCCTAAGTGCAAAACAAAACCATAAATGATTATCTCACAAGACTGCTAGGGGTTACCGGTAGTTTACTCAGTAAATATGAACTGAGGGCCCTCCCACGCGCCAGGACATAGAAATGAGAAGCCACAGCCCACGGGAAGCCCTCAGCAAATAGGAAGTTGAGGTGAACACCTTTCTTCTCTTGCTATTAATGATAGAGCAGCCATTTATGGCTTACCTTTCCCAGGCCAGGTATATCTTTTATTCTTTCACTGAGGTCCCACCACAACCCTGCAGGGTAGTTATTATCAGATCTACTTTACAGGTGAGGAAACGAATATCCAGACAGGTGAAGCCACTTGCCCAGATATGGCAGCCGGCAAGGCCCCTGTGCCCCCACCCCACCAGTGAGTCATGCACATGGATCTGTTGCTGCTCCCACAACCTTCACACAAAACCCTCAGGGGGTTCATTGAAACCAAGGCCAATTCTGAATCCCAAGGCGAGGTGGGGGGAGGGACTGAACTCCTGAAGGACTTCTGACACCTGCCTCCCCCACTCACTGCCTCCCTAGTACACACCCCAGCATCTATTTTCACTCCTCCCTGAAAACAAAGCGCTTCATCAATCTAAACACCACTATCGATCTGAACACTAGAACCCTCAATCCCTCAAGTCCTCTACTTTAGAGAAGAAGCTCCCGTCAGAAGGTTTTTTTTTTTTTTTTTTTAAGCTGAGCCATCCCGCCACCTGTTGGCAGCTCCGCGGCTGCTCAGCTCGGGCTGACTCGAACCACTGTTGCTCAGAGCTCAAACTCTTGAGCGAGCTCTTAACCAACTGAGCCACTCAGCCGGCCCCCGTCAGAAGGTTTTGAATGCAGAGGAATCCCCAGTGTGGAACATGTTTATAAATGGAAGAGGTGACCTATGGTTTGGAAAGTCCTTAAAGATTCAGTGTTCTCAGAGAAGGTGTCTTTGATGTGCACGCCACTTCTTCTCCCCAAATTCAGTCTCAAGGACGCCCCCTCCTTCACACTGACACCAGGTGTCACAGAGCTCAAAGTGAGCAGAGAGGGCCAAAAGCAATACCTGGCAGGTATTATAGGGGAGGATTCAGAAAGATGGCAGCAGTAAAGTGGACAGCGGTGCTGAAGAAAACGAAAAAATAAAAATATAGTGATCTATTGGTACACTAGCAAATGGAAACAGAATTAGAAAATATTTTTTATTAAGGTGTTTCCTTTTAAACAACCTTGGATACCTACCTAACAATCACTTAAAAGAGGATTTCTATTGCTCTGGAATTTTCAAACTTCTGAACCTTGTTATCTACAATCCGCAAAATAATCTTTTCCAGACTAACATCAACAAAGCATCTTGTGAGCGTAACTACGGATGGCGTGTTGAAGAATTATCAAACGAGCACTATGGAAAGCGGAATAAGAAGCAATGCTCTCTGAAACGACACTGGAAAAGAGAGGAAAAGCTAAGAGAAATCCATAATTCACAATTCCATAAGTACTTAACAATGCTCTCCTGTTAATTAAGAATTATTACAGATGAGCAAAAAAAAAGAAACAAAAAAACAAAAAGAAAACCAGGTAGTTCAAAGGCCATTTTCATCTACTGGCTTTACAAGTTTGGGTTAAACACTTACTATTTTGTTTGTTGACAGGATCTTGGAGTTATTTATTAAACCACACTAGGCAAGCTAAATACTTGAGCAGCTTAACTGTGGGTAGAAGTTACCATCTATCACAGTGATGAATAGCAGAGACAAACCAGGGCCTTGGGATTCATTCTTGGCTCTGCTGCTGTGACTCTTGGCAAGGTATCAAAACAGCTTGGTTTCTACTTTAGCTTCTGCATCTATTCAAGCCAGGAGGCTACCATTGGAAATACATCTCTTGCAATTTTACCAGGATTCAAAATGTAACAATGAATTCCTACCGGCTGTGCGCTTTCACATGATCTGAGCATCAGCTGACTCAGTTGGTTAGAAAAAACACTGAATGAAATCGGCATGTGGAGGCGCCTAACACGGAAAGTACTTAACAAACCCACATCCCTTTCCTTCCTTGGAACACGATGCTAAGTAAACCCAGGTGCAGTTTGGGGCAAATTGACTTTTCCATAGCCACTGTACACACATCTAGTCCTCAAAACAGCCTTACAATTCCATGCTGTTGGTAATAAGGGGACGCAAGTGAGAGAGTGTATGCATTGCACATGTATGTATATGTGTACATACAAACATACAGAGGGTGCCAAAAAATGTATACACATTTTAAGAAGGAAAAAACTATGAAAATTATAAACTCAATATATACCAATAACAAAAGATGAATACAAGTAACGTTTGACTTCTGCAATTACAAGAGGTGCTCAAAGTGGTTACCATCAGTGTCCAGACAGTTCTGATTATAGCGAACTACTGCTTGAGCAACGCTGACCAAGTGTCCACTTGTATACAATTTTTCGGCACCGCCGGTATATGTATGTGTGTGTGCATGTGCATGCCTAAAATCTCAACCCACTGTTCCTAGCAAGCTGAACCATCCTGTTGGGGGTGGGCTGGAGCCTTCTCTCTGGACAGGAAAACTGCAAACTGCTTGGCCAACCCTAGGGTGTTCGGAAGGCGAATGATCTCTTCGGTCAGGAGCGGCTCCCCCAGTCAGCGCTTGCTCAGGGTTTGCTGAGGCCTCTCCTGCTTCCCTTTCTGATTCAGTGATCAACTTATCTGGTCTACACATTGGTCACCCAAACATGGCTTACTTGGTAGGCTGTCTCTATAGATGCATAAGTTTTCAAAAATAAACATACGTTAGCGGAAGATTAGAAAGAAGAGAATGACTGTATCCCCCATGTTGTACATTACATCCCCATGACTTAATTGTTTTATACCTGGGAATTTGAACCTCTGATTCCCCTTCACCTCTCACGCCCCCTTTTTAATTTTACAATTACAGTTCACAGTCATTATTTTATATTAATTTCAGGTGTACTGCATCACGGTTAGACATTTATATAATTTAAGAAGTGTAACGTACAGCATGGGGAATACAGTCAATGGCAATTGTGACAGCATAGTACGGTGTCAGATGGTGGCTGGACTTATGGTGATCACTTCTTTAGGTACATACATGTTGAATAACTATTATGCACACCTGAAACAAATATATAATAATATTGTATGTTAGTTATATTTTAATATAAATCTTTAGAAAGTAAAAACCAAAATAAAATTTTACCATGAAATCAAACAAATCAAAACAAAACAAAAAAACACAAAAGAAAGAGAATGCAAGGGGACGTGTGACACAGTTAGGGCTGTTTAAGACACAGGAGCGTGGTCCTCTACCTGCAGCGCCAGCCGGACGATGCCGGAGGTGTAGGCCAGCATGCTGTGCAAAATGTCGAGCAGGGAGAAGAGCAGCGCAGCGGCCGTCTCGTTGTTGTTTTTATCGTCCACGTCCAAGCACAGTGTGACAGTTTCGGTGAAGAGGTTACAAACATGACGGACCAGTCCTGAGGGTGAAAAGGAGAAAGGTAAAATAGTTCTCATAAATTATAAAAGTAATGCATCACATAAATGCAACAGGACCTACATGCGAAGCAGTAGTCCTGGAACTGGACCGTGTACCAGATACACGTGGGAAAGGTTCTTAAATGCAGGTTTCCAGGCCTCACTCCCAGTGAGTCTGCTCAGGAGCCTGGGATGAGGTCTCAGAACACACGTGTTAAACAAGCTCCCCGGGTAATTTTGATGCAAAGATTACCAAAACCACACTTTGAGAAACACTGTGCTACATGGTGGACCGGTTTCCCGGGGACGGAGGGCTCCCTGACACTGAGAGAACGCTGCTGAATATGAACAGACTGTCACCAGGGTCTCGGTGTTTGAAGGCCCAAGTCAGGGACAGCAGGTGAACCCAGGGGTCTGTCGGGGGTCTACAGGTAATGGGTCACTTCAAGAGGATAAAGCAAAGAAGTGTTTTTTCTCATGCATTTCAAAACATTTGAAGTATGAGATTAATTATGGCTTTAAGAAAGGTGAAATTGAGAAGTTGCCAGGTTCTGTCATTTTGTCTCTGCAGACAGCATACTAGCAGTGCGGGTGGTCAGCATCTACTTTCATTCAGTTTGACGTAGTCTGTCACAACCCACACATTTCCACATTTGGGAGGCAGAATTGTTTACATTTAAGTTGGCATTTTTATTGTTATTATTATGTAGCATTAAACTTTCACTCAGCAAAATTAATTCAGATGTAAATGTGGTGAAAATACAGCATGAAATATTATAAACTTAAGTGGTGAAGGGACTCTTCATTAGATTGTCTGAACGTTCTAGAAAAAAGTGAATCTCCAAATATAAATATTTTACATAAGCAGATGGGTAAAAACAAAAAACATATGGTCAGGAAGTATGACATACAGTGCAAGCTGGATTTTATTGGACGTGCAATCCATTTGTCCCTAGTCCTCAGATGATCAGTTGGATGGAAACTCTGCCAAGCACAGCCATTCAAGTTTTGGTATCTCTCCCAAACAATGCACACTGTCATTTCCAGTAAACCAATCTAGATTTCCTAGACAAGTGCAAAGAAATTCTTAGACTACAAAAGTAATTACTTTTGTCAGTAAAGGCAGGGAGAAACCAAAATTACAGAGGCCTCATTCAAAGTTCACTCCTTGTGGCAAAAGCTGTTACAAGTTACACAGCTGAAGATAAACATACTTGAAGGGAAAGTAGAATGAATTATTGGCAAAATTCCGGTATCAAATGACAAGGTTTGATAGCAGAAATCGTCAACACATAGTACAGAAGAGCAATTATTACGACATGTGCATTACGGCAGCAGGCATTCTCCCGTGCGTTAGAAAGCATCACTGAGGTGCATGCTATGGATTAGCACTTGGCACCCAAAAAAGAAGATGCTTTCCTTTGGGGGGTTCATGATTACTTTGTGACACATCGTATAGATGGTCAAAGGTACAGGGGGCTGCGGACTGGTGAAGTCCAGCTATGTGACCAGTGGCACTTTGGAAGGTGGAGGTGGCCCCCTGAGTCCCCATGTATATACCGCTTGAGTCAGACTAAACATCTGGTGAGCCCCAACCTTCTTCCTGGCCTTCTCTCCATCCACAAGGAAGGAATGCAAACAATGAACGCAATCAGATGACGGCTGGGATGAAATTCTTTCCCGCCTGCTATGTGAAAAGACAGGCACGCCATGCTCTGACTTGACACACTGGCGTCACCAGCTGTCAGGGCAGGTGCTCATGGGAGATTAGAAATGAAGTATGACATAAAATATCTCTTCACAGCAGCGATAACGCCAGCAAAGCCCACAAATAAGATTTCAAGCGGCCTATCTCAGCCACAGTCAGCGCCCTGCATCGCCAGAAGTTTCACTTCAGGGTCAAAATACATGTTTTTCTTGTTCAGACTTTTTATTATGAAAACAGAGAAGGTCATAAAGCAGTTCTGTAAAATGAATCCCTACTACCCTCTTCAAAAATTATCAACATTTTGCCAATCTTGTTTAATCTGTCTCCACTAATTTTTTTTAGTATTTTTAAGTAAATACTAGACATCATCTTATTTCTCCTGTAAATCTTCCTGTATAGTCTAAGAAAGAAAGACTCGTTTTTTTAACATAACCACAATGTCATTATCACTTAATAAAATGAATTTACTGAATATAATCAATACACAGCCTGTGTTCAAAACCCAACTATCTCCAAATTGCCTTTTTTTGGCCCACACATTCCATTTGGTTGCAGATCTTAAGTCTCCTCCAACCTTTAATACTCCTTCCTCCCACCCTCTGCAATTTTCCATGCCGTTTATTGGTTGGAGAAATTAGAACATTTTTCCTGTGGTGTTGTGTTCCTATATCCCTGTGTTTCCTATAAACTAGTAATTGGGCCTAGAGACTCAATTTAATTCAGGTTCAATTATTTTGGCAATAACACTTGGGGCTGGGTACTCTATTTCTTGATGCACCATTCCTGGAAGGATATGCCATCTGGCTGTGCCATTTAATGATGTTAAAGTTGATATCGGGGTTCAGGGGTTGTTAGCCTGATTCACCCATGATAAAGTTCCCATCGAATGTTATCTACTAATGACCATCGTCTAATCCCATTATCACGGAGCCCCCTGAAGTAACCAGTGGGGAATGGAGAACAGAAGGCCACGGGAGGCGACTGCAGTCATGCCATAACCAAGAGGAAGGCAGACACGTCACTAAATACGCATGATCTGTTAGGTCAGCGGTTCTCAACCTTCCTAATGCCGTGACCCCTTAATGCAGTTCCTCATGTTGTGGTGACCCCCAACCATAAAATTACTTTTGTTGCTACTCTATAACTATAATTTTGCTACTGTTATGAATCATAATGTAAATATCTTTTTGTCTTCCGATGGTCTTAGGCGACCCCTGTGAAAGGGTCGTTTGACCTCCAAAGGGGTCGCAACCCACAGGTTGAGAACAACAGCAGGGTGGGGCCAAGCATCACTAAGGAATAGGCGAACTACACCAAATCGATCAATGCTTAACCACTAAAGTCAGAATCACACCACATCAGCTGAGTCAAAAGTCTGCTTTAAATAACAAAACATGGAGGGTGAACGTGGCAGTGCTGGTCTTGGACACGCTGCAGGGTAAATGGAGGTGTCTGTGAACTGTGGGGCCCTGAACCACAACTTCCAAGCTTACCTGACCTCTTTTGGCCAATAGTTAATGGACAGCCACCCCCACACAGAAATGGTTCCAAGAAAAAACATGTCCAAACATCTCTGAGGTTCAGAGTGGATGAACCATCCCAGGGCAGGTTTTTGCCTCTGTTAGTCCAGCTCCTTTGTAAGAGACCCTGGGTGTCACCCTGGGCCCAACACCGGCCAACACCCTGCTCTGGCCTTCATCCTCCTCCTGCATTTGGACTCCCAGTTCTGTACCTCCTCTGCCTCGGAGCTCTGGTGTCTACTCGTCATCTAAAGCCTTCACCCTCACCCACTACCCAATCACCAGAGGCCCATGGAAGTTTGGCTTTCTCCACTAACAAGAGGGATACTGAACGAGTTTCGCGGATATGTAGGACTAGCCAATTCAAAATTCTGTGCTCTGCTGAAGTAAAGGCTGGGGATCTCTCACATATGACAGAGATTAATATTTTAATTAATATTTTTCTCCAAAAAGCCTGAAGGGGCTCTGTATTCAGAGCATTGATTTTGAATTACATTCCTAAGAAAATTTGTATATGAGAGTGTCTTAAAAACTCGCCCCAGCTCCCCTAAGCCCACAGTGGTCCCTCGATCCTCCCATGATTATCACAGAATCAGTTCAGCACTTAGTTCCATAGATGGAGGAGACCACTGTATGGAATTATTCCAAGTATATGATTTATTCTGGTCACCTGTCCCCAGGGGCTGCAGTGTCCTTTTCTGGTTTAAGCAAAGGTCCTGAATTTTAGCAACATGTGAACCCCAGATGCAAACTTGAGTGGTAAAAGTTTTGGATAGAATGAACTCAATTATAAAATCCTTGAGAAAGAAGTTTAGCACCTAAGAGATTTTATGCACTGGAGACACGCTCATTTTGATTACTCAGAGATAGCTAAAGCAGCTTAGGATCGATTTAAGCAAATATGGCTGGAACAATTTTTGAAAGTGAGAATATAAAAAGTGGAAGTGCATGCTAATTTCATAGCCCAAACTGAAGATGCAGTGTTGTTTATGACTCATTTAAAAAGGGAATTTTGTTAACTCAATGGTGCATACACTTTCCAATTCCTACCAGGAAATGGGTAATAGACAACTGACCATACATGTGCAATGCCCAGGAAAATGCTGGAAGAGAGTGGGGTGGAGGGGCGGGGAAGGAACCCTTCAGGGAGGGAGTATGACCCCCTCAGCAGCAACACAGCCCAGGGGCTGCCCCAAAGCCCGAAGCTTTGTCTAACTCCATTCCAACTTCAATCAGCACTTGCTGAATTAGGGAGGGGTTTTTAGGAGCCCAATGCTGAGCTCGAGCACATCTTCTTGAGCCCCGCACCCCTAAAGACCTTCAGTCTCCCCTCTTTCTCCTTCCCCATCATCTATCTCTGAGATGGCAGGTCAACATTCAGGAGAAAACATGTATCATTCATTCAACCACTGGTTCATCTGCAAATGTAAATTTTTATAGGGCTAGACCAGGGGTTGGCGGACTGCAGCTCGCGAGCCACATGCGGCTTTTGGGGTCCATACATATGGCTCTGAAGTAAAATTGAAAATGAAAATAAAACTATCATAGTTTCGTTTATAAATTTTTTTTAAGGATATTATTCACATAATGGTGATTTCATTTGTTTTATGGCTCTCGAACAATTTTTAAATTGTGAGGGGCAGGATTGGCTAGTCCGTCTCAAAGGTTTGCTGACCCCTGGTCTAGACAACGCGTAAACTAGGAAAAAACCTCAAGAAATGGCCCCTTCGCTTCAGGGCCCATAAAAAGATATCCACGTGTGAGACAGATCACA